TAGTTATGTCTCTAATATTATGTTAATTGATAATATTAATAAGCCCTAAATGACTAAATTATATAATAATTTAAATTAATCCAATAAAGATAAAAGAAAGGTTAATATTATTGTATAAATTCAGTTTTTAAAGTTTCTGACATCAATTTAAAGTAAATTAAAGAATTATTTAAATAAAGTAATTCATGTAGAACAATAATTTTTGAATTATCTAGATCAATTATGATATATACTAAAGAGGATTTACTGTTTAGTGTACAATAAGAAACAGAATTCATTTATTTCAGGTGCTGGAGATAAGACAATAAGATTCTGGCTATAATCGAACTAAACTGATTGGATTAATTCACAACTTTATGAATTACATACAAATGATATAGTATGTAGGATATTAAATTCTAATGAAGATATATAATTTTCTGGGAGCGATGATAGATCAATTAAAGTACTGACTTATCTTTAATCTTTTAGTCAAGCATAATAATTATATTACTGCATTAAGTTAAAATTAGACAGAAAATTATGTAGTATCGTAAGATTAAATTAGAATTTGGGAAGTAAGAGTATAAGACAAGTAAGAATTCAAAAGTGTAATTATAATTGATGAAATTTCATAAATTGAGGGTATTAAAAATGCATTGAATTATAGTTATCAACCTATGTCTGTGAAAAAAATTTATGGTTATAAATTAATAGGAGTGTTTTTGTAAAATGTCAAATAGAAATTAGAAAGCCCTTCAAATTGTGTGAATTGTGTTACTCATGATCCATCTAAATTTATAGGTTTTTGGAATAAAGAGCTTACTAATTGTATATAAAGAAGGGTAAACAGTAGTCTAGCATACATATAATTTTAAAAGAATTATTGGTTATTCTATTAAGAGATCTAATTCAATTAATAAATTCTTAATTTTAATTTATAAATAGATTATAAGGCCAATATACCTACTCTTTATTAGAAATGAATTGTAAATGATAGGTGTTTGCATATGGAAAAACATGAATCCATTATGATCATGGCTTCAAAAATGAATTTTTAGTTACAATTAAGGTTCAGAAGTTAGAATATAAAATTAAAATATATGGGAATTATTAATTTTTCAATTCTTATTTCAAAAATATGAAAGGGATATATTTCTTATAGATTATAATATATCAGCATTGAAAATCTCTTTTTTTAAAAGCCAAAGAAGGAAAGATGACATTATGTTATTATCTACCTATTTAGATGAAATAATATTTTGTATGCTGTAAATTACATAGTAGAAACCATATAATGGTTTAGATTACTTTTATAATAGATAAATGTAAATGGATATTGCTTAATAACAATTGTGAATTTTAATTCCATGTTGATTGTATAACTATATCTCTTGGTTTATTAGATGTTACAAAAAATTTTATTTAGATACGGACAACAATATTTGTTTTAGTAAGTTTGACATTTTAGGAATTCTTGCAATATTAACCAAAGAAATTTTATTTATAAATGATTTGTTCATAAAATTGTAAATCATGTAATTTAAAAGATTAAAGTAACATTTCTAAGAATGGTTATTATCTTGTGCTAAGATTTAAATAATATCTAAGAAAGGATATAATTGAGTTTTCAATTGATAAATGATTTTATAATGAAAGAAAATATATTTGTTGAATAATAGTTTTATTTTTTTTAGTTATGGTAAATAATATTTAGATTATAAAATGAATAAACATCAAGTTTATTTTTGTCATGAAGCCATTAACCACTATATTTTATACCATTAGCTGATTCATATTCACCAAATCCATGTCTTTAATCATCTAACCAATCTCCATCATATACAGATCCATCAACATATATTATTTGACCATTCCCATTTTTCTTACTATTTTAGAAATCTCCTTCATATTCATCTAAACTGCCTAAGCACTCTACAGATATTATTTTATTTGTACTTAACAATTCTTATTATTAATGATAATCAGTTTACCAAATTTTCAATTTAGATATAAGACATATGATTAGATATTATAAATAAAAATTACAGGAAAGGAGTAGAATTAAGGTATTTTTCAGAAATATTAAACATTAATAAAGGGCAATTTCTTTAGAATAATTAAATGTAAATATATTTCTAATATTGAATCTTTAAAGAACTGAAAATAGCTATATTATATTTTATAAAACAGACCTAAAATAATTACTGCAGATTTATTAGAGGATTAAAATATTTAAAAGTTTTTTTAATTAATAAAAATACACCTCTGTAAAGAAATATTTTAAATTAATTTACTAGGCTTATATACAATTATTGGAGGTTGATTAGGAAATATATATGGTGTGGCAGAAATCCTAATAAAGATTGCCTAATTCAGAGAGATTTAGAGACAAATTAATGATGATTCTAATTTGATATGATATTTTGCCATAATCATTGAATTTTTATGGCAAAATTAATTTGATAATCTCAGTTATCAGAAAATAATTTTAAAATATAATATGTTTAAATATTATTTAACAGTTTGGGAACCAAAATATGCCCATTTTATCTAGTATATTTCATTTATATTAGTGAAGTTCCTAACCTGGAAATTCACAAATTATCTATAAAATCTTCTTTTTAGTATCTAAGAATAGATCATTATCATCGACCTTGCTTTCTAAACGTTACGAGGTATACGGTCAATTAGAAATTAATATATGCAGATTTTTGATCATGAAATTATTGTTTATCATTATTATCAATTGTAAAATATTTATT